GGCGACCGAATGAGACCCCAACTCAAAAAAAAAAAAAAAAAAGATACCTGAAGGACATTGGAGAAATCTGAGTATGGACTAGATATTAGGTTAATCTTACGTTATGACAATGTTTTTATTTTTAGGGGATGCAGATGGAACCATTTAGGAATAAAGGGTCATAACACCTGCAGCTGACTTCCAAATGACAGAGAGAAATGTTACAATTAAATAAAACAAATACCACAAAATGTTGATAATTATTGAATCTAATGGGCCTCACATGAGCACCAGCCAGACAGACTTCAGAGATGGCCAGCATGGGACGGTGCCAGTGAAACTCGGTGCAGCACAGGCTTCCAGGACTAAAGCAACTAAAGTTAAACATAGGCATCCTTCCCCTTCCTACCACAAGTAAGCAGGGCCTAAAGTGGGCAGGAAAGACAAGTTGGGTTAAAAGAAGAAAGAATAAAAAGACAAGGTAGCTGTGGTTCGTGCTTCTCCAGTAGTTTCTGAGTTTCAGTTTCCTCATCTGTAAAATGGGAAGAACAAAATCTGGAAGGATTATCTTATGTAGTAAAGATGAGGAATGCCAAGTGCCTGGCCGGCAGCAGACAGATGATTGATATCCTTAAATTGCTGCTATCTGGCCTGTGAGTTAGGGGCTGCCAGTGACTGCAGGAAGATAAGAACCCAGACATTCTGTGGGGGCCTATCCTCCAGGCTGGGCTGACAGGCTGGTGGGGTTGGGCTGTCTCTTGGAGCAAGCATCCGTGGCGGCTTTTTTCTCCTAATGAGCACAAGGAAGGTAACTACGAAACAAGTTTTATCCTTGGTGGACACCTTTCATTTACATCTCCGATTGTGCACTCAATACCAGCAGGGCAGTAATCAGGAAGAATTCAAGGTAGACTTCCTGAAGGCCAAACATAACAGAAAAAAAAAATAAGCAGAACAGTTCTTGGAGGAGGTGCCTGAAGTCTTTCCATCGTCCACACCCTTGGAACATCTTATTGCTTTAAAAAAAAAAATAACCCTCCTGCAGTTTAGAAATAAATCAACCTTTCTAGCTGACACGAAATGCAGATGGCATCAGGCTCTCCTGGGGCCAATGGAGCTCAAGGGCACAGGCTTTGGATAGTTAGAATAAAACCTTGAACATGAATTCAGGTCAAGCCCCAAGAAAGCCGTCAGCTGGTCAGCACTGCCTGCACTCACGTTCCGACGACAAAACCCAGAACTGAGCTTTGTTCCATGTCAGCATCAACCACTGCCAGGACCTCACCAGCACCCTCATGTGTCCTCACCAAAAAAACAAACAGCTTTGGGGGGCTCTGGTGTATTTTTTTTCCCTATGTGTTATTGTGACAGTATTGGCTCCTCCATGAAAATTCTGAGACATGATAGCTTGTGAAAATAAAGTCCTGGACACCACAGAGAAGAAGTGTCTGATTTTGGCCCAAGCCTGTAGGAAGCCAATAATTAAGTGACATAGTGAGTCACAGCGCCTCAGTGAGAAAAGGCTGCCTGAAGGGTCTTCATGGACAGGCCTCCCAGGCCTCCAGGGCTCCATATCCTCAAGCAGAGACCTTGGCCTTCCAGAAGGCTCTTACCCAGTGCACACAACTACACTCTGTTCCCAGCTTGTTTGTTACTAAAAACAAAACAAAACAAAACAAAAAAAACCTTGGGTTTTTACAGCAAGGTCAACAGGGGCTTCACTAATGGGTACACTTGAGTTAGCTAGACCCCAAGTCTAAAAGACTAATTATTTTCACACCGTTCGTAAAGGAGGCAGCTGTTTTCTTTTCTTTCTTTCTTTTTTTTTTTTTTTGAGTTGGAGTCTCACTCTGTCGCCCAGACTAGAGTTTAGTGGCACGCTCCTGGTCACCATAGCCTCGACCTGCTGGGCTCCGGTGATCCTTCCGCCTCAGCCTTCCAAGTAGCTGGGACTACAGGTGCATGCTACCACGACTGGCTAACTTTTTGATTTACTGTAGTGATGAGGTTTCACCAAGTTACCCAGGTGGGTCTCAAACCCGCGGGCTCAGGCAATCCACTCACCTCAGCCTCCCAAGGTGAAGGACTACAGGCTAAGCCACCGAGCCCTAGCTGTTTTCTTTTTAAATAGAGACCTGCATTAAGAAACAGATTACATACTGCAACCCAGAACATGCACAAAAATGACTGAAATAAAGTTTTCATGATATAATGCTTAATCCTACTATCCTTGCAGCACCAGTATGTTCTGTTCTATCATGCTTTAAATGCTGGTCATCACCCAAGCCAAAGCATCCCACTCCTCCTGGGAGGCCACAGTCCACAGGGGAGGGTGGGACTGGAGGACGCTCATGCATCTTGGCACCTGCCCATCACAGACACAATCCCCTCTGTCTTGTTCCTCTCCCTGGCGCTGCCACAGAACAGCCTTAATTGGTCAAGAGAAGAGGACACCTCTCCTCTGTCTCCTATGTTTTCTAAGTTCCAAAGGGCACCTGTCCACGGCGGCCCAGGCTCAACCTGTGGGGTGGGGCTGTCCCACCTCTGATGGAGTAGGGGCTATTTTTTAAGTTTCCATAGGAGGTGTTGTCTTAACATACATTTGTTTCCCCCTGTACCAGGCTCCTTTTTGCCCCCTCCCTCAGAGAGCTATCTTGGTCAAGGCTGGTCTCTGCAGGGTGTGCACATTCCTGGTAATGAGTCATGGGGTGTAGGGGACCAAGCAAAGCTGAAAGCAATGTAGTTGCCATGCTGAGTCAATGTAATTGTACACACTGGGTAGGAATTTGAATGATTAGCTTGATTACCTTGATTATAAAACAGCCTGTTATACTGCCCTGATGTGCAGATTCTTCACCAACCAGCCGTCATAAGCACCTCCCAATGTCTCCCCCTGCTGGACTGCACGGTGACTTTTTGGGACAGGCCCACATGACGTGCAAGCCCGCCCAGATGTGGGTTACCACCTTACAGTAATATATAGGTGTGTTATGGAGCCTCATATCAGGAGGCTCCAGGGTTCCCAGCCAAGTGAGGAGGGATGTGCCCACCTGACAGACCCACTAGATTCTGGATCCAGCTCTCCTTATCCTCAACTTCGAGTGAAGCCCCAAACATGACCATCACACATGGGGATTTGGGTGCACCAGCGTTGGAAACTCTGGCCCACAGGGGACTTTGTCATTGAGAGCCAGACCCTCAGAGCACCAGGATTAAGATGTCAGACAAAAAGGAGGAAGAAGAACTACAGACTACAGTGACCTCATCTGGGAGGAGTCTGGAGGGCTGCACAGGGCATGTGAGTCCTGGCCTGGGTTTTTGAGAGGGAATGGAAGTTTTCTAGGCAGTGGAGTGGCAAAAGGGCACTGGAGTGCTTAGAGAAGGGCCGGAAGCTCTGTGTGGCCCAGGCAGCCCTGGCTCTTCTCATTCAAATCTCACTAACCCACCTCTTAAGCGAGGAGACCTTCTTTGAGCCTCCAGAAACTGAAATGACAACACCAGAATTAAAGACTCCAAGCCCCCAAGGGCTTGTGGTAGGTGGCAAAGTGTGTGAAGACAAGTGGTGAAAGCCAAAATGGAGTAACTTTAGTCAGCAGCTTATTCTAACCCACCCTGTAATCATTAACAAGGGACCGGAGGTAGTTACTGATAATCATCCTGCAACCCCCAAGCATGTTTTGTACTAAATGCCCTTTTATTCAAAGTAGTTGTCTTCCTGCCATCAAGGACCAACCTGACCTAATCTATTGTGATCAGCCCTTCCTGACCAATGTGGCACAGACCCACCACTCCGTCACCATGGCAACAGCTCCTGTGCTTACCTGCCCCCTTCGTAATGATGTAAAGCAGACCACCACCCTATCCCATGGTGACCTGCTCCACCAAGGGGAAGCTTTAAAAGCAGTCAGGGCCGGGCTCGGTGGCTCAGCCTGTAATCCCAGCACTTTGGGAGGCTGAGGTGAGTGGATTGCCTGAGCCCGAGGGTTCGAGACCCGCCCGGGCAACTTGGCGAGACCTCATCTCTACAATAAATCAAAAACTAGTTGGGTGTGGTAGCGCGTGCCTGTAGTTCCGGCTACTTAGAAGGCTGAGGCGGAAGGATGGCCGGAGCCCAGCAGGTCGAGGTTGTGGTGGCCGGGAGTGTGCCACTGCACTCCAGTCTGGGCGACAGAGTGAGACTCCAACTCAAAAAAAAAAAGCAGTTAGTCTTAAGTACTCACCAATGTTTTCTTCAGGTGCCTGACCCTCTTCTCTCCCTTGAGAAGTGGATTCACCCTCTCTCTCTTGAATCTACTTTCTAAATAAACTTTCTTTTCCAATCTAATTTCTGTGCAATTCTTCGCATCTCACCCGTGGCACCAGCCCACTGCCCTAACAAGTGGGCCATGGAGAAGGCACAGGAATTTGTGTGGGGTGAGAAGGGTGAGGTAGAGTTTCCCCGAGAGGAAGGAGAGGCTGTGCCTGAGGTGGTGAGGAGGACAGAGAAGACCTCTGGAGGGGGATGGAAGCTACCCAGAGCTGAAGGCTGGGCAGAATGTGCTGAAGACCAGGTCAGCTGCTATATAAGTCCAAGGTCAAGCCACTCTAAGTGCTCCCATGTATGGGGGACTCATATGCTAATACATTTGTTTGTATTTCTCTTGTTCATCTGTCAAATTTACAAGGTCCCTGAAGAAACTAGGAGAACAGAGGGAGAAAGATGTTTTTCCTCTCCTACAAACATGAAGAGCTTACTCTTGAAAAACTGTTTCTTCCAGGTAAAGCTCCAAACAACAGCCAACAGTCTCAGAACAAGTCTAGCCTTCCCGCCTGGGTACAGAGGAAGTCCCCGCCTACCACCCATCAGACCCCAATGTGATATTTTAGTCCTTTTAAACTCCTTTCATTTTATTTTTATTCATTTATTTTTGAGTCAGGGGCTCACTCTGTTGCCCAGGCTGGAGTGTAGTGGCACGAACATGGCTCACTGCAGTCTCGATCTCCTGGGCTCAGGCAATCCTCATGCCTCAGCCTTCCCCACTTCCCCAGTAGCTGGGATTACCACCATGCCCAGCTAGTTTTTTTAATGCATTTTTTGTAGAGACGAGGTCTTGCTATGTTGCCTAGGCTGGTCTCCAACTCCTGGGCTTAAGCAATCTCCTGCCTCAGCTTCCCAAAGTGTACCGGCTGTTCATTTTCAGCTCTGTGACTAACATGCAAAAGATTGACTGTCTGTTACTCTTGAGAGCAGAAAGTTGAGGGTGGAGGCAGAGAGGAAGCCACAGAATTCTTCCCCATGCCTGCTCCCGGCAGTCAGTGGTTGTAGCTGGAAGCAGCAGTTCTGCTGCCTTCGTTGGACATCCAAGTACAGGACCCAGCTGGGGCTGAAGCCCGGCGGGGACTCTGCTGGTGGGGACAGCCTTGGGGAGCCCACACAGGGCCTGTGGGCACAGAGCAGGCCATCTGGAAGGAGTATTGGGCTCCTCTCCCAACGCCCTCCCCAAGTCACAGGTGACTGTAGCCTTCCTACCTCAAGCAATGAGACCTGCTTTAAACCACTTCAAGACAGGGCTCGGGCTGTGAGACCTGGAACAGCCACTGATTCCACTGCAGCAATTAAGAGCATGAACTGGGCAGGGCGTGATGGCACCCACCTGTAATCCCAGCACTGTGGGAGGCTGAGGCAGGAGGATCGGTTGAACCCAGGAGTTCCAGGATTCCAGCCTGGGCAACAGATCAAGACCCTGTCTCCCCCCCCAAAAAAAATAAAGTATGGTTCCCAGAAAAGAAGCATCAGCACCACTTGGGAACTTGATAAAATGCTACTTTTGTCCCAACAGGTAAAAGAAAGAAGAGGCGGCGTGGCCCCCAGTCCCTGGCATAAATGATGACAACAGTAAGGCCACAAGCATTATGCAGAGTGACCAGGCACCAGCCACTGTTCCAGGGCCTTAGCCACACTTTTAATCACAACAACCCTGTGGAGTTGAGACTAGTATTATTGACATTTTACAAATGAGAAAACCAAGAAACAGAGGGGTTAAGTAACCAGGTGTATTCACAGAGAACATGACAGAACTGGAGGTCAGGGCTTGGTGTGGTGGCTCACATCTGTCATCCCAGCACTTTGGGAGGTTGAGGTGGGAGATTTGCTTGAGCCCAGGAGTTCAAGACCAGCCTGGGCAACACAGCCAGACCTCATTTCTACAAAACAAAAAAATTAAAAATTAGCTGGGCATGGAGGCACACGCCTGTAGTCCCAGCTACTCAGAAGGCATAAGCAGAAGGATTGCTTGAGCCCAGGAGGTCGAGGTTGTG